AACTAACTACTAACTAACTAACTAACTAACTAACTAACTAACTAACTAACTAACTAACTAACTAACTAACTAACTAACTAACTAACTAACTAACTAACTAACTAATACTACTAACTAACTAACTAACTAACTAACTAACTAACTAACTAACTAACTAACTAACTAACTAACTAACTAACTAACTAACTAACTAACTAACTAACTAACTAACTAACTAACTAACTAACTAACTACTAACTAACTAACTAACTAACTAACTACTAACTAACTAACTAACTAACTAACTAACTAACTAACTACGAACTAACTAACTAACTAACTAACTAACTACTAACTAACTAACTAACTAACTAACGAACTACTAACTAACTAACTAACTAACTAACTAACTAACTAACTAACTAACTAACTAATAACTAACTAACTAACTAACTAACTAACTAACTAACTAACTAACTAACTAACTAACTAACTAACTAACTAACTAACTAACTAACTAACTAACTAACTAACTAACTAACTAACTAACTAACTAACTAACTAACTACTAACTAACTAACTAACTAACTAACTAACTAACTAACTACTAACTAACTAACTAACTAACTAACTAACTAACTAACTAACTAACTAACTAACTAACTAACTAACTAACTAACTAACTAACTAACTAACTAACTACTAACTAACTAACTAACTAACTAACTAACTAACTAACTAACTAACTAACTAACTAACTAACTAACTACTAACTAACTAACTACTAACTAACTACTAACTAACTAACTAACTAACTAACTAACTAACTAACTACTAACTAACTAACTACTAACTAACTAACTAACTAACTAACTAACTAACTAACTAACTAACTAACTAACTAACTAACTAACTAACTAACTAACTAACTAACTAACTACTAACTAACTAACTAACTAACTAACTAACTAACTAACTACTAACTAACTACTAACTAACTAACTAACTAACTAACTAACTAACTAACTAACTAACTAACTAACTAACTAACTAACTAACTAACTAACTAACTAACTAACTAACTAACTAACTAACTAACTAACTAACTAACTAACTAACTAACTAACTACTAACTAACTAACTAACTAACTAACTAACTAACTAACTAACTAACTACTAACTAACTAACTAACTAACTAACTAACTACACTAACTAACTAACTAACTACTAACTAACTAACTAACTACTAACTAACTAACTAACTAACTAACTACTAACTAACTAACTAACTAACTAACTAACTAACTAACTAACTAACTAACTAACTAACTAACTAACTAACTAACTAACTAACTAACCTAACTAACTAACTACTAACTAACTAACTAACTAACTAAACTAACTAACTACTAACTAACTAACTAACTAACTAACTAACTAACTAACTAACTAACTAACTAACTAACTAACTAACTAACTACTAACTAACTAACTAACTAACTAACTAACTAACTAACTACTAACTAACTAACTAACTAACTAACTAACTAACTAACTAACTAACTAACTAACTAACTCACTAACTAACTAACTACTAACTAACTAACTAACTAACTAACTACTAACTACTACTAACTAACTAACTAACTAACTAACTAACTAACTAACTAACTAACTAACTAACTAACTAACTAACTAACTAACTAACTAACTAACTAACTAACTAACTACTAACTAACTAACTAACTAACTGACTACTAACTAACTAACTAACTAACTAACTAACTGTAGAAAGTTTTCTTTTGGAAAAGTTTGCGTAGAAAGTTTTCTTAAAGAAAAATTTCTGCAGGAATTTTTCTTATAGAAAGTTTACATGGAAAGTTTTCTTGTTGAAAGTTTCTGTGGAAAGTTTTCTTATAGAAAATTGTTGTAGAAAAGTTTCTTATAGAAAAGTTTCTGTAGAAGGTTTTCTCATGGAAAGTTTCTGTAGAAAGTTTTCGTATGGAAAAGTTTCTATAGAAAGTTTTCTGAAGATAGTTTTCTTATAGAAAAGTTTCTGTAAAAAGTCTTCTTATAGAAAAGTTTCTGTAAAAAGTCTTCTTATAGAAAAGTTTCTATAGAAAGTTTTCGTATAGAAAAGTTATCCTATAGAAAAGTTTCTTTTAGAAAAGTTTCTGTAGAAAGTGTTCTTTTAGAACAGTTTCTGTAGAAAGTGTTCTTTTAGAACAGTTTCTGTAGAAAGTGTTCTTTTAGAACAGTTTCTGTAGAAAGTTTTCTTTTAGAAAAGTTTCTGTAGAAAGTTTTCTTTTAGAAAGTTTTCTTATAGAAGTTACTGTAGAATGTTTTCTTATAGAAATTTTTCTTATAGAAAAGTTTCTGCAGAAATTTTTCTCATGGAAAAGTTTCTGTAGTAAGTTTTCTTATAAAAAAGTTTCTGTAGAATGTTTTCTTATAGAAAAGTTTCTGTAGAAAGATTTCTTATAGAAAGTAAGGATTTCAGGTCTACAGATAGTGTTGCTTGTAGGGCATCATCTATTAACAAACAACCAACATATTAACTTCTTGTTCATTTAATTTTCAATATTTTATTATAAAAAATGTGTGGCAAAAAACATATTAATGCTTCAACTTTTTTTTACCACTCCGCTGTTTCTTCAATCTCTACTTCTACAGCACAAATTGTTGTAAATTGTTAAATATTTTTTGTAGCAAATATTTTTATTTGGTTATTTTTTCATTTTTGTTTTATTTTTTGGCTGCATTGAATGAAAGCAACACGTTGTTAAGTTTTATGACCATGTGTGGCATGTGGCAGATGTGTCAGTTGAAACTCAAAGCCAGACCATATATCAGCTTTCAAGTTTTTCTTTTTTTTTTATTTCAACGTTTTTCTTAAATACTAAATTTTTTTTAATATAGAAATGAATTGAGCGTTTTTGTTAGTTTTTTTTATAAATTTTTATTTATTTGCCTTAAAAGTGTTAAAATAAATAATGGCCTTTCAGTTTTATGGCAAAAAAAAAAATCATATATTTGTTAGTTTTTTCTCACACACTGCATTTAAAAAGTTTAAATTTAATAAATAATTAAAAGCAAAAAGTAAAAAATTAAAAAAAGTTTTCTCTACTACTAGCAGAGCAAGGTTTCGATCCTCGGACCTCTGGGTTATGGGCCCAGCACGCTTCCACTGCGCCACTCTGCTTCTTATAGACCTTGCGATGATTATGAGTATTTATGTATTGTATTAAATTGTTTGTGGCTAAAAATAACCGGTAGTTTACGAATTAATTTTCAGCACACACCACCCATCAAATCTACATACGCTCTATAAAAATTAGCATTGATAAGTTATTGTTGCTATGAAATGGAAACATTATCGTATTCCATAGTTATGTTATTAACATAAACTGTATCTTGGTTAACAATTTTTAGGCAATTATTTTTATTGGGGGAAATTTTGACAAATGTACAGTAAAACCCAAAAGTATAGCAACGGGTTCCCTTCTTGGTAATAAATGTACAATACAAAAAACACAGATTTTTCTTGTTATTTTTAGAATTTTAAAAAAATATTGTATAACAAATTTGATTTTCTTATCAAGAAAAAAGAAACAGAAAATCAACGGAAATAGAACGGAACTGGAAGTGACCTTGAACTGAACCAGAACGGAACTACAACTGAAATAGAACTGAACTAAAACTGAAATAAAACTGAACTAGAACTGAACTAGAACTGAACTAGAACTGAACTAGAACTGAACTAGAACTGAACTAGAACTGAACTAGAACTGAACTAGAACTGAACTAGAACTGAACTAGAACTGAACTAGAACTGAACTAGAACTGAACTAGAACTGAACTAGAACTGAACTAGAACTGAACTAGAACTGAACTAGAACTGAACTAGAACTGAACTAGAACTGAACTAGAACTGAACTAGAACTGAACTAGAACTGAACTAGAACTGAACTAGAACTGAACTAGAACTGAACTAGAACTGAACTAGAACTGAACTAGAACTGAACTAGAACTGAACTAGAACTGAACTAGAACTGAACTAGAACTGAACTAGAACTGAACTAGAACTGAACTAGAACTGATAGAACTGAACTAGAACTGAACTAGAACTGAACTAGAACTGAAACTAGAACTGAACTAGAACTGACTAGAACTGAACTAGAACTGAACTAGAACTGACTAGAACTGAACTAGAACTGAACTAGAACTGACTAGAACTGAACTAGAACTGAACTAGAACTGAACTAGAACTGAACTAGAACTGAACTAGAACTGAACTAGAACTGAACTAGAACTGAACTAGAACTGAACTAGAACTGAACTAGAACTGAACTAGAACTGCACTAGAACTGAACTAGAACTGAACTAGAACTGAACTAGAACTGAACTAGAACTGAACTAGAACTGAACTAGAACTGAACTAGAACTGAACTAGAAACTGAACTAGAACTGAACTAGAACTGAACTAGAACTGAACTAGAACTGAACTAGAACTGACTAGAACTGAACTAGAACTGAACTAGAACTGAACTAGAACTGAACTAGAACTGAACGAGAACTGAACTAGAAACTGAACTAAACTGACCTAGAACTGAACTAGAACTGAACTAGAACTGAACTAGAACTGAACTAGAACTGAACTAGAACTGAACTAGAACTGAACTAGAACTGAACTAGAACTGAACTAGAACTGAACTAGAACTGAACTAGAACTGAACTAGAACTGAACTAGAACTGAACTAGAACTGAACTAGAACTGAACTAGAACTGAACTAGAACTGAACTAGAACTGAACTAGAACTGAACTAGAACTGAACTAGAACTGAACTAGAACTGAACTAGAACTGAACTAGAATTGAACTAGAACTGAACGATTTTAATCTAATTTGAAGATCTGAAGCATTTGATCTTTGAAGAACTATCATATATATTTATTTATTATTTTTAACTTAAAGTTAGAACTGTACATATTAACAATATGTTTCATTAATAATATTGAAACCTAAAGTTTACCAAAAATATCCTCTTCCTTTAAACCATGTTGAGCTAAAAAGTCTGCAGACCATTTGTCAATTTTAGTAATCAATTCGGGTGTTAGTTCATCCTTAAAGGAACCCACAATACCACGACGCATAAATCTAAAAATAAGTTATTTTTTAAATATTTTCTTAAATTATTTTTTAGTTTTTATGATTAAAAAATCTTACTGAAATTCTTCTTTTACAGCAGGATTATCATCCTTTAATAAATCGGTCAAATTTGTTTTCTTATTTTCTAGAAAATATTAGAATTTTTTTCATAATATACCAAAGTAGCTGAGCTATTGCGCTTACTTTTCATGCTATCAAATGATAAATGTTGTAAAAGTCTTGACATTTCTTCCTTTGACAATTGAGGTCTCCCTAGAAACCCACAGAGTTTTTGCAAAACATTTGCCAAATCACGTTTCATTTCTTCATAGGTGACAAAGAATATGAAATACTCATATCGCATTTTCCAAAAGTCTACTATATGACTCCAGAAGTGAGTATACATAATTTCATTATTAAGAAAATCTTCAGCGTAATCATGTAAATTATCACCACGCCACATATCTAAGTTTTTCACAAAGTGGAAGGAGGAGACTATAACATCCTTCGCATTGCGAGCCACATAAATGATCTGTAATTGTGAAGCGAGTTTAGTTTGTTTTCAGAAATTCTAAAATATTACCTTTTGTTTCTTTTCCCAGATTTGTAGAGGCAACAAATTGGCCGGTAAATGGGATTTGATTAAACGCGGACTGGGCAATTTCTCACACAACTCTACGTGATTTGGACCAGGCGTAATGCTCTGAAAACTAAAAGTGTATTCCTAATTTGTATAGCTTCAGCTCATTTTCGTATAAAACACTCACTCTAAGAAAGGACTTCTGATCATAACAACCTCCTCTTTTGACTTCTCATAGTCCAAGTTATTCAACAACAACCAGGCACATTCCTGCATCCAAGTAGTGCCACACTTCATAAATGTCACTACAAAGACATCATCCTTACGCAATTGCAAATTGAAATATTTTTCACACACCGTCTCGAAATGAGCCGACAAAGTACACCAGGTCTCTGACCAGTTTTTCTTTAAAGGAATATTTTTACCCTCGGTGGCATACCTTTTCATCGGAAAAGCTATCCTCGCCTTAGAGGTTTTACTGACATGTTCCAAAGATTTTAAAATGTTTTCAGCAGCTACCATGTTCAAATGTCTGCAGGAACTAAATCACACTGAACACTAAAATAATTAAAAATTATTTATTTAGCTTTAAGACTTTAAATGTCATAGCTGAGCTTAGATTAGCAGTATCAATAAAATGGGTTCGCTCAACCTGTGTTTACAATCTCACTTCTGTGGGTGAAAAACGGTATCAGTTTTGACAAACGTGTTTCGAATATAAAACACAACAATAATAATGTGTAAACAAAAATAGCCAAAAATATTCAGATTTGTTTACGTTTTTAGAAGATTTAAAAAAAAAAAAAATTTGGAAAAACCAAGTGAAGAGTTAGTAAGTTAGTTAGTTAGTTAGTTAGTTAGTTAGTTAGTTAGTTAGTTAGTTAGTTAGTTAGCTAGTTAGTTAGTTAGTTAGTTAGTTAGTTAGTTAGTTAGTTAGTTAGTTAGTTAGTTAGTTAGTTAGTTAGTTAGTTAGTTAGTTAGTTAGTTAGTTAGTTAGTTAGTTAGTTAGTTAGTTAGTTAGTTAGTTAGTTAGTTAGTTAGTTAGTTAGTTAGTTAGTTAGTTAGTTAGTTAGTTAGTTAGTTAGTTAGTTAGTTAGTTAGTTAGTTAGTTAGTTAGTTAGTTAGTTAGTTAGTTAGTTAGTTAGTAGTTAGTTAGTTAGTTAGTTAGTTAGTTAGTTAGTTAGTTAGTTAGTTAGTTAGTTAGTTCGTTAGTTAGTTAGTTAGTTAGTAGTTAGTTAGTTAGTTAGTTTAGTTAGTTAGTTAGTTAGTTAGTTAGTTAGTTAGTTAGTTAGTTAGTTAGTTAGTTAGTTAGTTAGTTAGTTAGTTAGTAGTTAGTTAGTTAGTTAGTTAGTTAGTTAGTTAGTTAGTAGTTAGTTAGTTAGTTAGTTAGTTAGTTAGTTAGTTAGTTAGTTAGTTAGTTAGTTAGTAGTAGTTAGTAGTTAGTTAGTTAGTTAGTTAGTTAGTTAGTTAGTTAGTTAGTTAGTTAGTTAGTTAGTTAGTTAGTTAGTTAGTTAGTTAGTTAGTTAGTTAGTAGTTAGTTAGTTAGTTAGTTAGTTAGTTAGTTAGTTAGTTAGTTAGTTAGTTAGTTAGTTAGTAGTTAGTTTAGTTAGTTAGTTAGTAGTTAGTTAGTTAGTTAGTTAGTTAGTTAGTTAGTTAGTTAGTAGTAGTTAGTTAGTTAGTTAGTTAGTTAGTTAGTTAGTTAGTTAGTTAGTTAGTTAGTTAGTTAGTTAGTTAGTTAGTTAGTTAGTTAGTTAGTAGTTAGTTAGTTAGTTAGTTAGTTAGTTAGTTAGTTAGTTAGTTAGTTAGTTAGTTAGTTAGTAGTTAGTTAGTTAGTTAGTTAGTTAGTTAGTTAGTTAGTTAGTTAGTTAGTTAGTTAGTTAGTTAGTTAGTTAGTTAGTTAGTTAGTTAGTTAGTTAGTTAGTTAGTTAGTTAGTTAGTTAGTTAGTTAGTTAGTTAGTTAGTTAGTAGTTAGTTAGTTAGTTAGTTAGTTAGTTAGTTAGTTAGTTAGTTAGTAGTTAGTTAGTTAGTTAGTTAGTTAGTTAGTTAGTTAGTTAGTTAGTTAGTTAGTTAGTTAGTTAGTTAGTTAGTTAGTTAGTTAGGGCATACCTGTGTTTCACTTGTACACTTTTTTATCTCCTGCACAACTTTTTTTATGTTCAATGGAATTTCAAACAACATACCGCTTTACATATTTACACCTCTTGAACACGTACAACACCAAAAAAATATTTAACAAATAAAAAACTCATCAATAAACATTTTTTTTTTTGTAAATTGAACTTTCATATCATAAATATTACGATTAAACGAGACGAGACCTAGACTGTCTAACAAATGCTAGGCGTTGAATATTTTGTGTTTTTCTCTCCATTTTTTTTGACGTGTTCAATAAATGCAGTTCAGTCCTAACTAAACAACTCCAGTAAATGGCGTCTGTAATGTTCGAAAATATAAAATTTAATTGCAAACATTAAATAGTTGCGCCTCTACCCCACCTCCCACCAAAAAATGAACAAATTGTTTTTAATAGATGACCAAAAATAAAGAAAAGCTTTTTTTTGTGGATTCAATAAATTTTGTATTCATTACTTCGCTGTAATTTTGGAGAGCAGTGTTTACGTATTTGATTTTTATGAGCATTAAAAATATTTATTAGAAAAAAAATTATATTTCAATCAAAGTTGTTAAATGAAATTTGAAAATAAATGAAAATCTGTATGCTGATTGACCCGAAACGAAGTGTAAGTGAAAATTTTGAAGGGGTGGAAGAAAACGAATAAGTATGAAGAGCTATAATATAGACTATTAGAGACCATTATATAGTCTCGACTACAGTTTTCACTGTAAAACAGTCTATATTCTTCACTATAGGTTATAACCTTTCATCGATCTACAGGCTTGACCATAGATCAGTCTATAGTCTTAATTAAAGATCAGTATATATATAGTCTTGACTATAGATCAGTCTATAGTCTTGACTATAGGTCAGTATATAGTCTTGGCTATATATCAGTCTATAGTCTTACCTATAGATCAGCCTATAGCCTTGACTATAGAACAGTCTATATTCTGGACTATAGATCAGTCTATAGTCTTGAATATAGATCAGTCTATATTCTTGACTATAGATCAGTCTATAGTCTTGACTATAGATCAGTCTAGAGTCTTGACTATAGATCAGTCTAGAGTCTTGACTATAGATCAGTCTATAGTCTTGACTATAGATCAGTCTATAGTCTTAACTATAGATCATTTCATAATCTTAAATATAGATCAGTTTCAGTATATAGTCTTAACTATAGATCAGTCTATAGTCTTGACTATAGATCAGTCTATAGTCTTGACTATAAATCAGTCTATAGTCTTGACTATAAATCGGTTCATAGTCTTGACTATAGATCAGTCTACAGTCTTGACTATAAATCAGTCTATAGTCTTGACTATAAATCAGTTCATAGTCTTGACTATAGATCAATCTATAGTCTTGACTATACATCAATCTATAGTCTTGACTATACATCAATCTATAGTCTTGACTATAGATCAGTCTATTGTCTTGACTATAGATCAGTCTATAGTATTGACTATAGCTCAGGTTATAGTCTTGATCAGTCTATAGTCTTAACTATAGATCAGTTTATATTCATGACTGTAAATCATTCTATAGTCTTGACTATACATCAGTCTATAGTCATGACTATAGATCAGCATGTAGACTTGACTATAGATTAGTCTATAGTTTTGACAATGGATCAGTCTTTAGCCTTGACAATAGATAAATTTTTAGCGCTGACTGAAGATCAGTAGATTGTTTTGACTATGGCTATAGATTATTCTATAGTCTTGCCTATAGATCTGTCTATAATTTTGCCTATAGATCAGTCTATAATACTTACTAGTCACTGATCTACTATTACTATTTGCTGTAGATCAGTCTCTAGTCAATACTGTACACTGTAACTACTGTACATACATCTGCCTAAGTGATAAAACATTGCCGTAATCTTTTCTTCCTATGAAGTTTATTAAAGTCTTATTTTAGCGCGTTGCGTATGCTGCTGTCATAAAAACGTTATCTTTATCTAACGCATTATAACGTATGTATTTCAAAAGATTGTTAAATTATTTTAATACTTAACTTATCTAATTTACTGATGACATATGTATACGTCATTATTTGACTAAATGTTTTATTTAGATGATTTAACATTATTGTATGCATGAAATATCAGAAATTCTTAGAAAAACTGAGATTTAAGGTAACAGCAGTGTTTCTAAAAACAGCGCAATGCAAGAGAGAACCATAGTTCAATATGAGTCTTAAGAATACTACGCTAATTGACTTCGGATTTCGTCGCAAAGTACACAAATGGGTTAACCTTAAACTCCTTAAAGCGGTCCTTATCTGAAGTTACTTACTGTAAGAACACAATGACTACAAAAATCTTAAAAAACTTCTTAAAATTTACTTTAAAACTTTAATATAAGTTTATTTTTTCACAACTAACAAACGCTCTAATTTACCCACAATACCAGCACCGATTGACGCCACTAAAACACATAGGGAGGCATAATAAATTTTATAATCGAACAGCAAAACGTCTGTACGTAAAAAAAGTAATTAAGGTCGTGGCTAATGTGTTGATGAATTTGTGAGTTTTAATAGACAAAAAACATAATTCTGTATTAATTTGTCTGCAAAATATTTATGTTCTGTTTATATTGGATATATAATTTGATGGAATGGTATTACATTATAGATGGCATACAAAATTAGGCGCCATGGTATAAACATTCATATTTTGCGTAACACTTGCACAGGGAGTCTAAAATATAAACGCATAAAGATATATGGGCCAAGGTAATCTATCATTTAATTTAAAAATTTTCATATAAAAACACATGAAATTACATGCAAACTAATTAATCATATTTTGGGCGAAATATTACTAAATATAGCTTGTAATTGAATGTGATTAACTAACTAACTAACTAACTACTAACTAACTAACTACTAACTAACTAACTAACTAACTAACTAACTAACTAAACTAACTAACTAACTAACTAACTAACTAACTAACTAACTAACTAACTAACTAACTAACTAACTAACTAACTAACTAACTAACTAACTAACTAACTAACTAACTACTAACTAACTAACTAACTAACTAACTAACTAACTAACTAACTAACTAACTAACTAACTAACTAACTAACTAACTAACTACTAACTAACTAACTAACTAACTAACTACTAACTAACTAACTAACTAACTAACTAACTAACTAACTAACTAACTAACTAACTAACTAACTAACTAACTAACTAACTAACTAACTAACTAACTAACTAACTAACTAACTACTAACTAACTAACTAACTAACTAACTAACTACTAACTAACTAACTAACTAACTAACTAACTAACTAACTAACTAACTAACTAACTAACTAACTAACTAACTAACTAACTAACTAACTAACTAACTAACTAACTAACTAACTAACTAACTAA